TGTTTTTGTTTATTTTATTCATTAATGGTAGATTAATTAAGACTATATTTTGTCATATCAACTTCTTTTAATATTTTAATACATACTTTCTATAATTACTTATTTTGTAAATATTTGATTTAAAAATATGTTTGTAATATTTTTTATATTGTTTCTTTTTTTATTTTCGTACACTATTCTCATTTTTATTGAAATTTTTATGTAATTTATCTTCATTCTTCATCACGTTACTCTTTTTGGTTATTATTGCATATTCTATTATTGATAAGTTATTTTTATTTCATTCAATTACACAACATTACTTTATATTAACACCATTTTTATATACTTTTTGTTAAAAATAAAATATACAAAAACAAAAAATAGTAAAAACACTTATTAAATAAAATGAAATAACATTTGTTTAAAGTAGAATAATAATAAAAATAATATGTGACTTGGTGTGTTAATAATGTGTATTTAACTATTTAAACATTCCATATTTTGAACTTACATTTAAATTAAAATAGAGGAATTAATAAACAAAAACAAGCAATTAATTAAAGAAGGAATAGAATCAATTACAAATACTCAACAATCAATTGATGATACTACTAAGAATTATCAATATTATTTATGAAATATTAAAAAGATGCAGATACAAGAAGAGAAGAAGCAAAGAATGAAAGGAAATAAAGTAATTAAACAAATAGAAGAATGGACAGAAAAAGAAGAATATCAAATATACTATTTGATTCAGATATTGATAATTGGAATGTTAATACATCAGTATTTAAACAAAAAAATATGGAAGAAAGAACATATAATAATTATTAATATTGAAGATGAAAAATGAAATAAATTTTGAGGATATGTTAATGAGAAAATTGATAAAGTTGATTAAATGATTCAAAAACATTTTTATTATCAATAGAATCAAATGGAAAAATGAAAGGAGTGATGAAATTTGATAATAAATACACACAATATGCATTTTATTTAGATAATTGATCAAATAATTATTTGTTTGGATTTGGATATGGTGGTATTCATGTTTGTAAAGAAAATAAATATTGTTTATAATGTTAACAATATTCATTTAAATATAAGAATATCAAATGCACTTTGTTGAAAACAATATATAAATCTTTTCACTCAGAAATTAATCATTGTAATTGAAATGAAAATAATCAATATTGATTAAATGAAAATAAACTAAAAAGAATAGAAAAACAAATCAATGAAGAATATGAACAACCATTTTGTTCATCTTCAATGAATGAAGTGTTAAAATAAAAATTGGCATAATTCGTTGTTAATTTGTTTTATTAAATAAAAAGAAAATAAATATTGTGTATTATCTCATAATTAAATTAAACAATTCAATAATTATTCTTAAATTAACTTGTTTTTATTCTAATTTTCATTTTTATACCAATTTAAAATATAAAAGTATCAAATTGTTGAATAAAAGCATTAACACATAATATTCTATTAATAATGTATTTCTTTTTCATCATATTTATTAATATTTCATTAAAAGCTAATGATTATTCAAACGAACTTGTGTTATTAAAGTATTTACAGAATGGTTCATAATAATCAAATAAAAAAATGAATATATTTATAGAATTAATACACTAACAAATTCTATCATATAAATGATTCATTAAATTTATTGAATAATCATTTGTACTATTATATTAATATCATAGTATAATAAAAATATGTTATTCATATATACAAGTATTAAAATATTGATACTACTTTTTACTCATAATACATATTATTTTTATTGTTCATTAATACTTTTTATTATTTAATTATTAGTTTTTCTTTGAAATTATTAGCTTCTAACATGAAAATTATTACAATAAATATTATTGATATTGCAATTTGTTTTATCTATAGAATGATAATCTTATGTTGTTTTATATGTTTCATTGAAAGAATATAAGTTAAATAATGTATATTTCATAGTCAAACAATTATTTTTGTATGTATCACTTTCATTATGTATCATCATCAACACATAAATAAGAATCAAAATAATTCATACTAAACAGTGTACATTCATTTATTATTGTGATGTTACTAAAGAATTGAAATTGAAAAAGTATATATGTTTGAAGCAAAAGTAATACATAAAATTCTTTGTTTACTAAAGTATTATAACGTAAAATACAATGATTTAACGAAATAATTATCATCATATATAAATTAGAGTATTTTTTAATGAAAATAAATGAACTATATCAAATAATATTATCTATCAATAAACATAATTCTCACTAACAAAGATATTTCAAATATTCAATATCTCTATCACTGAAAATTATAAACATCAGATAGACTAATACATTCTTCTCGGATTATTCAAATTCAATATAAAATAAGTGTATTAATGTTTATTTTTTTTTTTATTTATTTAAATAATACAATTTTAGATATTCAATAAAAGAGTAAATTAATGATGTAAGTCATTCGTTCTTTTATATTTTTTTTTCTGTGAGTTTTTAGGTTTTGTTATGTTTATTCTTGAATGAATAAAATTAGTTGTAGGTTTACTTCCAATTCAAGCAAAACTTTTGAATCACTTCATTTATTGAATGTTTTTTTAATGAGTATCTAAATAAAATAAATGTAGTGATTGTCTGCATATTTATTGGACTAAAATAAAAACAGAGATGTTTCTTTGTAAGAATATCTTTTGAGTATTTATTCCTTATTCCTTATCATTTTCATTTCAGTATATCTCTAAAATGAGAGTGTATATCGAAATAAAAACAGTTGGATTTGTTTATATAGATATTCTATTTTATACACTCAAAATGAATAGACAATCATATTATACAACGCATATATTCTTTTTAATACCCACTTCAGCAAAAAGAAAATTAATAAACCAATTATCACAATGTAATATTATTTTATTGAGTTGGTACTATCTTTCACAAACTTCAAACAACATCAGTAACTGTCGTTTGAATAATTCAACATAGACATGTCAGAAATTAATTGAACATTCCAACGAATGAACTAATGTTCAAAACAAAATATATTTGTTATATTCACCTAAGTGCCATATTCTCAATTTAATATGCATCATAATATATACCAAATACTCCTGAATTAATGCCAGAATTTCTCTTAGTTTTTTTAGTTAAACGAATTGAGATATGTTCAATAGATTGATTGATAATTGGGATAGCTAATAAATTGCATCAACCACTAACCCAATACAACCGTGCCAATTGTGAGAAATTTTCTTAAATCAACTGGCACAAGAAATAAAAATGTCTCTGTGTTATTTCCATTTTTATCAAACAATCATTTCTATGCAATCACCTCAGTTGCAAGTAATGTTATTTGAATTGAAAGAAGTCTTGATATACACCATTTAGTAAAATAGTTAAATTGCTCTTTGTTAACTTTATAGTAACAACTGTCATACATTTAGTAAATGAATCATCCCAAAACAGATTGAATTGAATAAGAATTTTTGAAATAACTACAGTCGTGTCTTAAAACATTTTTTTGTATATTTTCCTTAATCGTTTATCTTTAATGATCAGATGGTAAACACCATTTACATCCAATGACTTTATGGATTATTTCAATGGAATATATTTTGTCTTTTTCATTATTGAAGAGGATTAACAATGGTTGTGCAAAAAGAACCACAGAAGTAAATTTTTTTCCAATGATATTGACAAATGACAAAAAAGTTTATTTATTGTATTTAAAAAAAGTATTTAAGATACATTGACAATGCACTTTTAATCATGGAATTAAATGTGGTGAGTTTTTGTAATTTTCACCAGACAATTTTTATGTCATGAAGTTAAGAATGTGTGAAGTTAATTCCAATGAATATTTCTTCATAATATCAACTTTCACTGATGTGCTGTTTGTTATAGTATTGACAATTCATAACCAATACAATAAGGACATCTTTTTATCAATTGCTCACATTATTCTTCTCCATGCTCAAGTTTATCCAACATAGCAAATGAACATTAATTCACGTCTACTTCAAATATTATTTCATTAGACAATAGTTCAATTTAAATTATATAATTCAATTATTTGGTCTTGTATATTTTATTCACAAAAAAATGATTTTTGAGCATTATACATAAGTATTTTGAAATTTCACTTCTCAAAAATAAAAATGATACAATAACTTAAACAGAGAGTTAAATATGCATGACAATGTAAGTTATAATAAAATAATCAAAATGTATCTCCTTTATAATAACAAGTCTCACTAATTTTTACTATAGAATTAGTCAAATAATAACAACTAACATAACAATAAAACTTTATTATAACCAAGTTCATTGTATTTGTCATTTAGTTAAAATCATAATAATTATTTCATTCCAACAACTGTGAATATAACAGGTAGATTAAAGAATTCTATCACATACTACAAAAGATGGAATAATAAAGTTGGATAATGACAATAATTGAATATAATTAAATCAAAATATAACATAATAATACCAATTTTAAAAATAAAAAAGACTTATAAAAATTCAATTAGAATAAGCAATCAAAATATTCGTGACGTTACCAATAAATGTATTTAATTCTAAATAATCCTATCAACATTAAATACATTGAAACTAACTTTTATTTCATTAAAATATTAAGAGTTTGAATAACCCATACCACTAAATATTTAATGAATCAAAAGTAAAATTTAAATGATGAAAAAGAATAAATACATTCTTTCTTATCTTAAAAATAAACTCTCTTAAATATTTTTCTCTGCTTATTAAATAATCATTTAACACTCATAAAATTTAAGCTTCCAAGTCCAAATAAACTCTTTTTTGTAGTAAAGAGTTAAATTATTACATAAAAAAAGGAATTGTAACACACACTAAAATAATGAAAATAAGAATAACTTCCCACCTAATACAAGTCATAACCTTTAACAGTTCAGAAAATGAATGTGAAATACTTAAAATTTAAAAAACCAAAATAATTTATTTAACGCTAATTAGGAAATGTTATGTTTTCTTTTTTGTCTTTTTCACAACTTCTTTAACACCTTTCTCATCTTTCTTTTTAAGCATTTCAGTTACATAATTAATGTCCTTTCCCTCTTTAGCAGGGTCTTCCTTTCGAAGTGGTTTAATCACAGCTGAATCAATAACTTTAAAAGTATATCCATTTTGTCTCATAACCCGTTGTCTTCTTTGAGAGAAATACATTTCTCTTGTATCTTTGGATGTTAATGTATAGAAATAAGCACTATTTGTTCCATCCTTTGCTCTTAAAATTCTTCCTAATCGTTGAGCCTCTTGTCTTCGTGATCCTGAACTTGATGAAAGTTGAATAGCTACTGAAGCATCAGGAAGATCTAATCCAACATCTCCAATCTTGGAACAAAAAATAACACTAATTTCATCTCTTCTGAATTGGTCTAATAAATTTCTTCTATGCTCTTCAGAAGTGTTACCATCCATGTAACATTTTTGTAATTTTAATTTTTCTTTATAAAATCCAGCTGGTTTTAACTCATTACAAAAGATGATAATTTTATCACCATGTGCCTTGTGTTGTTCTAATAAGTATTTACATGCATCTATTTTATTTGGGTTGAGTTGTGCTAAACATTGTTTAAGTTTACTATCGTCTGCCTCAACATAAGCAGAGTAATATGTTTTTGTCATAGGACAAATCACCTCAAAACATTTAGCATTTGCAATATAACCTTGTTTTGCAAGTTCTTGCCATGACGCTTCATACAACATTGGACCAATCATAAATTCTAAATCACGAATTCTATCATCTTCACGAATTAATGTAGCAGTTAATCCTAATTTACATTGAGCTTTAATTTTACATACAAATTTTTCAATATTATCTGTTGTAGAACCATGGACTTCATCAAATATAATAAATCCCCATTCTCTCTTTAACAAATCATCAATAATTCTTTGACCAGCATATTCTCTTTCTCCAGTATGTGAAAGCATTGAATATGAAGTAATTAATACACATGCATCATCCCCAAGTTGTTCTTTTTTACTAGAAACACATAACTTAATTGCATCAGGTTTAATTGTTGACCATTTTAAAAACTCTTCTTTCCATTGAAAAACACTTTGAGTTGTATGAGTTAAAACAATAGTAGACCGTTTAATTTTTGAGCATGCAGCAATAGCTGTTAAGGTTTTTCCTGCACCACAAGGCAACACAACAATTCCACTTCGTGCCATTTCATTATCAAATATTTGTTGTAAAGCTCTTTCTTGATGAGGACGTAAACAATCTTTTCTTAATTGAATAGGAAGTTCTTTTTGTTTATCTCTTAAAAAGTGATATTCCTCATATACTCTAACTTTTTTCTTTTTACATTTTTTCTTTAGTTTAAATACTGATGTTTGTTTTACTTCAATAATAAATACATGATGGTCTAAATCAAGTTCTCGGTATAACTCATCACTCTCTTTTACTTCACGTGCTGATCCTTCATAAAATTGTTTAAAATTTTCTTCCATAACTTTTTTCATTTGTTCTTGACTTTCAGCTTGAAGATAGTATTTTCCATTGATTAAAACCAATCGAAAATTTTGTTTCTTTTCTCCAGCTTGTCTGATTTGACTTTTAACATTATCAGGAAGATAATTTTTTGAGTATTTTTCTAATGTTGAAATCATTGCTTCAGGTGTTGATCCAAATGAAAATGCAGTCATGATGCTTGTTGGTGTAAGTTGATATTCGTGCATGTGTTCCATTCTACTTTTGACTTGAGCTACTCTTGAAAGATAATCACTGACTTCTTTAAACATGTCATTAGATGTTTCAACTACTATTCGTAAATTGGAACTAACCCACATTGGTAATTCAGGATGATTTGGTTTCAATCTCATATCATAATCAGTTGATTCTTTCATATCTTCAAGAGAGTCATCACTTGAATCATCACTCGTATCTCTCTTTTTGTGCATATAAAATGAAATTAATAAGATGAAGTTTCTAATGAATAAAAGCAAAAAAAAACAACTTAAAAATCAAATCTGAGTTGTTTAATTTCTACTTCAATGATGACTAATCCAAATACACTTATATGCACATCACATGATTATACCATTGGTTGTTTGTTAGGACAAGGTGCTTATGGTCAAGTCTTTAAAGGAACATTTCGAAAAAAAGTTGTTGCTATTAAAGAAATGATGTTTGACAGAAATTATCAATATGAATATAATTGTTTTAAGAGAGAAATCGAGCTATTAAAAATATTAAATCATCCAAATATTGTTGAAACACTTGGTATTGTTGATGAACCAAAAAGTCTTGTATTAATTATGGAGTATGTTCCATTTGGTTCATTAAGAGAATTAATCAAAAATCAAGAATTAAAAAAAGAAATGAGAATTCGTGTATGTTATGATATTAGTATTGCACTTTCATATCTTCATCATCTTAATATTATTCATCGTGATATTAAAAGCGGAAATGTATTATTGACAACAAAAAAAGAATATAAATCAGGTATTGTTGCTAAATTATGTGATTTTGAATCAAGTTGTTATGAAAAAGATTCTATTGTTGATAAGAAAATTGGTACACCAATTTATATGCCACCAGAACAATGGAATTCGAAGAGATTAACAAAAGAAAGTGATATTTATTCATTTGGAATATTATGTTATGAATGTATTGATAATCATCTTCCATATGATACTCTTGAATTTTCAAATGAATGGAATATAGCAATGTTTGTATGTCAAAATAAAAGACTTCCAAAACCAAAAGAGTGTGATGAATATTTTTGGAAAATTATTACAGGATGTTGGTGTAATGAACCGTCTCAACGAATAAGTTTGTTATATTTGTTAATATAAATTAAGAATAATAGTGAGAAAAAGTTATTTATAGTACAGGGATTAATGAAATAATAAAACGATTAAAGAAAGTGATTTAAGATTGATTAATTATGTAAATGAAAAGGTAATTAACAGAGACTTTATTAATGAATTACATTGAATCAAGAAGTAAAGTAAGTATCCTTTCACACATTTGTTGAGTTTCATAATCATCTTTTTTTGTATGAAGCATTGTTAGTCCAAATAAATGAATAACAGTTCTTCTATCAAGACCTCTTTCTATAAGTTCTTTTATTGTTTTTAATATATAAAGAAATACATTTCTATGAGTTTCTTCCATCATATAAATAACATAACGTTTAGCTAGTTCAAGGTTATTAACATAATATTTTATTTCTGAAATAAAATTGTCATGTAATAATGAGTCTTGAAATCCTGCTAATACAACTAAAAGAATATCCAAATAACTTGATGCTAATATTCCTGGTAAGAATTGACTATCTTTATCAATAGAATCAAGAACCTCTTGTCTTTGAGTTGGAGTTGATTTTTGAATAAAACAATTTTGAAGTTCTTCATTACTAAGAGACAAGAGTTTATCAACTAATCTATAAATTTCTTTTGGAATAGTAAAAGGTAATCCTTGATAAGAATTTAAAACATTACCACGAACAGGACGATTTAATAATGATAAACTTTTTAATGACATTCCAATACAAGATTGTTTTGGATAAACTTTGACAACAATAGGAATAGTATGTTTAGTATATTTAATTCCTATTTCAAAAGCAAATTTACAAGCTTCTTTTTCTTGATACAAATGAGCTGAATGTAAATCAAATTTAATACTAACTTTTACTTTTGCTGTATCTTTTCCTTCCATAATTTCAATTCTATCAGTACTCATTTGAACTTTTGCCCAAAGATGTAAATTTTCTTTTTGTTCATCTTGAATAAGAGTAAGATGAAGTCTTGATTTTCCTGTATTAACAATAGTTATTTCTTGACTATACTCTGTAAGAACATTTACTCCTCTAAATTCAAAATATGTCATTGATGCAGATACCTCTGGAACAACAACCATTGAATACCATTTCTCAGCTTTATCCATAAATTCTTCAACCATTTTCTTTTTTTCTTGATTAATTTGTTGTAAATATACTTTCATAAATGCACTAACTGGTTTATGGTCTGAATTATATAATTCAAATGATGTATATTTTTCTACAATAACTCCATGTCTTCTTTCTGTTTTATATAATACACGATCACACCATGAAGGAATTCTATTATCTACATATTCTCCATTACCAATTTTAATTTTAAATGTTGGTAAAAATGTAATTTTAGCTTCTTTAAAATTTTGAAAGACTTTCTTCTTTATTCTTGAATTAAATAATTGATCATTACGATAAAGAGTTGTTAAATCTTTTTCTTGAACTAGTTTTCTTACTTCACTATCTTCCATATCTATTCTATAATTTAAATCACCCATCCATATTACTACGTCATGTTGTAATAAAGGAATAGAAAGTGATGATGTACCATTATAATATTTAATTTTCATTTTACTAATCTCTTCCCAATCTTTATTTCTTCTTTCACAAAATTCTTGATGTGCTGCTAAATGACTATTAACAAAACAAATGGTTGAATCATAAATTTTCATTCCAATTGCCACTCCTCCTTTATTTGCTAATTTTCCACTCATCGCTCCAGTACGACATTCTGATAATCCAAACATTTTAATTTGGCTCTTAATATGTTTATGAACAAATACAAATAATACAATTCCACAAAGCTGATACCATCCTGATTCATCATATTCATTTCCTCCATTCCTATTAACAGATTTACAAATAACATCTTTCCATTGTTCTGCTCGCTCACTATATTTTTTTCCAGTTATAATTGCATCAACACTCATATCTAATTCTTGAACACCTAGAGCAACAATATCTGGTTTTTCTGATAATAATGATGTCCATTTATCAACAATTTCTTGATCATATAAACCTTGATTAATATTCCAAGTACATATTTGAATTTTAAGTTCTTTAGCAATAGCATAAAAAGGTAACTGATCTAATATTGATTTTTCTTTCCATCCTTGACTATCTTCAGCAAAACAATTAACTAGAAAGATAAATATTATATTATATTTGATTAATTTAAATGAAAACTAACAACAAACAATCTTTATATATCTCTGGAGATTTACATATTTCTTCTTTTGTTGGTTGACGATTCATTGCAACCCACATTCTAGGTACAACTGGAACAAATGATGGAGATGGTGGGGTTGTAGGTTTAAACATTTCATTATCTTCTTCAAGTGTTTTTGAACGACCAAGAAATTGCTTTGCATTTGATGAAGTTCTTCTAGAATAAGAACTTAAACTAGTAGTTGTTCGATGTGATTTGATCCATTCTTTTCTTTCATGCTCTTTTGGGGTTGTTGATAAAGAAGGTGGAGTTGAGGTAGTGCGAACTGATGCTTGTACTTGTTCCGTTAATCGTTCATGTTCAAGCATGAACTTAGGTGTCATAACAGTTCTTCTTGGTGATAAGTTAGAGAAAGAATAGTTTTGTGGTTGTGACATGAATAATATAATGAGCCAACTTATTCTTAGTTCTTTTCGAACTTATAGAATGAACATATTTACGGCTTTGGTTTTAGAAAAGATAAAAAGTACTATAAAAAATAGTAAAAGAATTTAATAAATATAAAAAAGTGAAAATAACAAACAGAAAAATCATATAAAAAAAAAGAAACTAAATTAATAAAAATATCATTTCTTTTCAATATGTCTGAAACTCCACAAATAAAATATGCAATCTTTGATCTTGATGGGACACTACTTGATACAGAAATATTATATACAATTGTTACTCAACAATATTTAGATGAATATGCTAATGGAGCTAAATTTACTTATGAAATTAAAAAAGAAATGATGGGAAGACATATTGAGGTTGCTACTAAATGGTTAATGGATATTTTTCATATTAATGACACACTTGAACATGCAATACAATATAAAATTGATCATTTAAATAAATTATGGTCAACAGTAAAACCATTACCAGGAGCAATGAAGATTTTAAATTATTTTAAAAAACATCACATTCCTATAGCTCTTGCTACTTCAACCACTAAATCTGTCTTTGAACAAAAAATGGTTAAAAACCAAGAGATGCTCAATTATTTTGATGCAATTGTTCTTGGAGATGATCCTCATGTAAAAGAAGCTAAACCAAATCCACAAATATTTTTACATGCTGGTCATTTACTTGGATGTACTGACATGAAACAAGCAATTGTATTTGAAGATGCAGTACTTGGTGTTCAAGCAGGAATTGCATCTGGAGCTTATACTGTAGCTATTCCAGATAAAGAATGTGCAAATGATCCTTATTTTGAAAAAGCATATGTGCAATTGAAATCACTTAATGAATTTGAACCAACAAAATTTGGACTTCCAAATGATTATTGATTTATGTTATTTTAACAAAATATAATGATAAGATGAGACTAATCTTCTTAGAAGAAGGAATGATAGAAAAGATTTTTATTGATATTTAAAATTACTTTTTAGTTTTATTTTTTCAAAATTGATTAGACTAACAAAAAAAAATCATTTAATAATTTAATTTTCAAAGATCACAAAAGTGATGAATATATCATTAATTGACCTAATGACTGTCGTCTTTTAAAGTAAGTAGAGTGATATATTAAATAAAAATACTTAATAAAAAAAAAGGATAACAAACTGTTTTATTAGTTGATTTTTAAGGTAATTTATTTGTTCAATAGGAAGAGATTTAAAAGTAATATTATCTATTTTATTTTGAAGTAATTGTATTTGTTGAGAAAGTAAAACAATCATTTGTTCTATTTCACATAATGACTTTTTTCGTAATAAAGTACCATTATAAGAATTTAGTAAGTCAGGGTTTTTTAACATAATTAATCGAGTTAATTTATCAGCTTGTTGTTGATTTGACTCTATAATAGAAGATAACTTTTTTTGCTTTTCTTGAATAGAAAGTAAATTGGTATTAAGTTGATTTACATCATCAACAATTTGATTATATTCAGACTGATGTTGATTAATATCATAACAACACAACATTAACCTAATAGTAATTTATTTTTTTCTATTAAAGAAAAAATAAATAACAAACATATCTTCAATATTATTTGTTTGATGTTCAATATTTTCTAATTCAACAATGTATTTACCCATTTGAGAAGTTTGGGGTTGCTCCTTTTCCATGATTGATCTAAAAATTAAAAGAACTCTTTTTCTAATTTTGTTTAACTATGGTGTCTGAACTTGCTGAAAAACTCTTTTCACTAACTGTTCTAAAACTTGCTTTTATACTCTTTGGAGTTACTATAGCAATGTTAGTTGTTATTCCTCTCTTTCCTATAGTTTCAGATAATTATGTTCAATCTGTTTTGACCGTTTGTTTTTTCATCACAAAGATATTCAAGTTTTAATACTAATCTTGTTAGCCTTTAACAGATGATATGAATAAACAAGTCATGGATGCTTTAAACAAATTAAATTAATTACATTACTATTTACTTCCTTCAATGTGTCTCTTTTTGAAAAACAAAAGTCTCTTGAATTTTCTTCAAAGAAACTTTAGAAGAATTAAGAATTTTTTGTTTTTTGTGAATAACAAAAATTTTCTTATTATTGTTTTTTATTAAAATCTTTTAAATAACAAAGTAATCTTTTTTTTTTCATTAAGATATTCATTTTCATACTTACTTTTTGTTATACAGTTTTTTAATATTGTTGTTAATTGAAAATTCGATAAAACAATTTTAAATAAAATAACAAAGTATTTTAATTATTTAAAGAATAAGAAAATTTTTTGAATTATTATTTCTTATAGTCTATTAAAATTCTTCTTTTTTGTATGATAAATATTATAACATTTTTTATGAATTAATATTTGAAAGAATCTAATTTACTAAATTGTTTTTTTTAATGGAGTTTGAGAAGAATACACGAATTTATAGAAAAAAATGAAATAAGAATTAGTCACTAAGAAAATAATGAAAAATACAAATAAAATAGATAATAATAATAAGTCTTTATTTTTAGAATAAATATTTCTAATTGAATTTAATATAAGAAGAAGTTATATAAAATAATATATGTTTAATAGAGAATAGATAATATCTGTAGAATAAGACATAAATAGTTATTATCAGAAAAATAGAATAGTCTAAGAATTAAAAAATGAATAACTCAAATTAAAAATTAAATTTTTAAATTAAATAAACTTTGATTTAAAATAAAAAACAAATAAATTCAAATTAAAAGAAGTAACTTTAAAACTAAAAAATACAATGACAAACAATATTATTGTAAATGACACAATTTATTTAAGACAATTAATTGAAGGAGATGAACAAGAAATATTTAATACTATAAATCAATATAGAAACGAATTAAGAACGTTTTTAAGTTTTGTTGATTTTGTAAAAGATCTCAGTGATAGTGAATTATTTGTTAAAGAGACGTTGAGAAATTATCAACAAAAAGTATTTTCTATTCGATTAAATAAAAATAATGAATTTTGTGGATTAATAGGAATTCAAAGTACTGACTTTACTAATTCATGTTGTGAAGTAGGATATTGGTTATCTCCAAAATTTCAACATCATGGAATAATGACACAGTCATTAAGAAAAATGATATCATTTATTTTTACAGAACTTCATTTTCATAGAATTGAATTGAAAGTCGCAATAACTAATCAACCAAGTTTAAATGTTTGTGAACGACTTCATTTAATAAAAGAAGGAATTCAACGAGAACGAATACTATTATATGGCACTTATTATGATGCTCAAATATTTTCAATATTACAAAGTGAGTATAATTGAAATATTCATTTACATAACTTCTTAATAATTCTACATAAAAGCCCAATATCACTAAACAACAAATGCAATTAAAAATTTAAACAATTTTTACAACTCAAAATCATCTATAATATCTAATGGAATATCAATATCTGTTTCTACATCTAATAAATGTAAAAATGGATGTTCTAGACATTCTTGAGCAGTCATTCTTTTACTTGAATCTACTACTAATAACTTTTCAACAAAATCAATAGCTTCTTCACAAGTATCTTTTCCTTTCATTCTATTCCAATCAACATTTCCTTCACATATCTTTTGTTTAACTTCTTCCACTGTTCCATCAAATGGAAAACTAACTGTTAATAGTACAAATGCTAATACCCCTATTGACCACATATCACATGCTTCAGTATACGTCTTTGCTGTTCCAACAATTTCTGGTGCTGCATAATGTAATGTTCCACAACTCGTTGTCATAGGCTCTTCATCAAACCTAACAGCAAGACCAAAATCAGCAAGCTTAATATCAAATGGTTCTTCACAATTTGTACATAATACATTTTCAGGTTTAATATCACGATGACAAATACAACGTTCATGTAAATAAGAAACAGCTTCACATATTTGAGTCAATATTGTAATATTTTGTCTTAATGATAAAATCCCTTCTGTTTTTAATACTTCAAATAATTCTCCTCCTTCTACATAATCCATTATCATTAAATATTGAACTTGAGTTTCAATTACATCTTTCATTCCTAATATATATGGATGATGTACATCTTTTGCAATAGAAATTTCACGTTCAATATGTTCTACCATTTTTCCATGTATTTTTCTTTTATCTATTACTTTAATCGCATAAATTTGTGTCCGGTCTGGATGAAGATGAGCAGTATAAACACTACTGAATCCTCCTCTAGAAATAAGTCCATGAACAAGATAAACATCTCCTGAAGGGCTTGTAATACTAGTCCCAGCAGTGTAGTTTGACATCCTTGTATTATAATTATAAGATGTTTTTGTTCTTTAAGATTGTAAGAATGCCCTTTGAATGCAAATTCCTCTTCTTTTATTCTTATAAGAACATGGTTTTATTCTTTTCTTTTTCTTTCTTTAGAATTTGGTAGAATTTTTGCTCATTTGGTATTGATTTTTATACTTTCTTTTTCCTATCTTTTCGGGTTTTCTTCTTTTCTTCTCTTTTTTTTTTTTTCTCAACCCTCTCAATTAAAACTATAATTTTATTTAATTTTTTACTATTTATTTTTTTTACCCATTTTTGTGTGCCATATTTTTTCTTTATTTCTTTTTAATGCTTTTCTTGAGAAGAAAAATAAGTTATTTTCTCTTTTTGAAATTCAAATCAACGAAGAACTGATGATATTTTTAGTTACTCTTTTATAAATTTTATTTATTCATATTTTTCTTCTTCAAAACTGTGACTTAATAAAATTGTATTTGTATATAATATTTTTCTATACTGATATTTAATGATAAAAGCTTTAAAAAAAACAAAAAGAATGAATATGATAATTCAGAAAAAAAAAACAACTTTTATAACAAGTTTCAAAAAAAAAATGCGAGAAACTATTTCTTTGAAAATATTAAAAAGTGATGAATTATTAGTTATATTTTTATTTCTAAATTTTTGATTTTTTTAAGAAACGAAAAATTAACTAAAAAAGTGGTTTTAGTAATTTATTCAAAAACTTCCATTTTCAATCCTATTTCTAAAAAAGAACTTATTTTCAATTAAATGAAATACCCTTATTTCTTTCTCCTTATATCTTTTGTTTGTGTTGTTAGGGGTATAAAAATATATTCATTACCGCCTAATACACATGTTAAAGCTACTCAAGAATATAATTCTACTACATTGTATATTATCAATACACAAGAACTTCTTCCTAATTCTATGTATGAAATAACATTGCAACTATTAGGAAACACACAAATACCATTTTTTATTTCATTGTTTGAATTAAATTCAAGTCAAACTGTATATAATGAAACTACACTTCGTTTTATTACTGACAAAAATAGTTGTGTTATTTATGGGGAAAAAGAAGAATGTCAGTCAGTTAATTGTTATGTGAAAATTTTTATTCCAAATAACAACCTTTCTGAAATTAATTATTTTGTTTTTTTAAAACGTGGAAAATGGGGATTACTTGGTAATACTCCTACAATAATATTTTTAGGAATTCTTTGTATTATAATTGCAGCTGTTATTACTTATTGGATTGTTTTAGGAATTGAAAAAAATCAATTAAAACATAAACTATTTTGAATTTTATTGTTTTTTTTTTATTTCATTATTTATTTAATTGTAAAATAATAACAATTAATAAATGGAGTTGGTGTTTGGTTTTATCATCTTAAGAAATGCTTTTTCTATTGAACGTTTATGTTAACTATTAAACCTATTTAAAAACACTAACTACAATAATTAAGTTTAAAGTATTTCTTTGATTGTAATTAGATTTTTTGTTATTTAAGAAGTTATAAAAATATGATATTCAATACATACAGCACTTTTGAACAAAAAAGAAGAATTAATAGATATATCCACAATTAGATTTTCTTTATATTGAGAAGTGTTTATTTCAGTTTTTTCAATATACTCTATTTGTGTAATAGAGTTTATTTCTAATACACTCGCATTAGATTGTTCTTATTCTAATGTGCTGCCAGAGTTTCCTGTGTAAAACATTAAGTCTTTCATATTTTTTATAATAATTGTTTGTAGGATTTTGGGAGAAGTTTAATTGGAATTTCAGTGATTTTAATCTTCTTATAGACTCTTCATGTATTAATCCATTTATTGATAATATTACAGATATTATTTCTACAGATATTAATTCTCTGTTATTTCTTAATTTCTCTTGTAATTCTTTGTATTTATTTATTTTATGAATATAATTTAATTCTATATTCTTATTTTGACATATAACAACATCTATG